TAAAATGATGAATTTCTTTTCCTAGTGGCATAACTAAATTTCTTTACCTAGAGGTAAAACATTCATTTTCCCCCCTTAACACCATTCAAATTAAGATTTATTGTCAAATTTTGCATCTGGAAATGTTTTAGAAGACTCACTGAAGATTTATATGGATTAACTATTATAGGCATGTCAACCATTTCCTGAAAGAACCAATACTGAAAGCCACTTTTATGACAGAATGTACATGGTTCCTTGCATTAAGGAGCTTTGGTCACACTAGGTAGGGTTTTAAGTAGGAATAACATTTTTAAAAACATTTTCAATTATAAATTGTAACATTGAACATTTTCATTCCCTACTATCTAGCTATTTCACTCCCATGTCTCTACCCAGGATAGGCTTTTATGCATGCACACCGTGAAGTAATACACATATAAATTCATGAGATCATTCATCAAAACAAAACAAAAACCAAAAAGACAAAAACTTAGCAACCAGATACTTCTGTGAGGAGGATGAGTGTATTAGTTATGGAATATGGTACATCAGCAAAGTGATCCAATTTCAACTATGCATATCAACGTGAGGATGTGGGAATACAACTGTGGGTGAAATGACAAGTGTAGAGGATTACACACAGCAAGACAGCATTTCATAAAGTCCAAAACTCCATGAAAGAGGACAAAAGCTAATTGGTTTTCTTTCAAACTCTGTCATGTCGTTCTTTCCTTCTTCCTTTATGTGGCAGATAACTGTCTAAAACAAGAATTGATTGTGAAAGTCTATAAAACCCTGAGTGATGCTCCAGGCTTTCAGAAAGGCCAATCTAACTATATAGCAGTTCATGGAGATGTATAGAGTTCGGGACTGGGCAAGGGTGTATTTGAGTGGCTTCATTAATCTAGCTGCATGATGTTTTTATTTGTAGGTTCGTTGCAATACAGTGATTTTTATCTAAGAAAAAGAAAAGGGAAACAAAACCTTGAAAACTAACCGGGGCAAAAACTCGAGCATAAATAATTTAGCAATGTCGACATATTGCTCAGTACGATAGCAATGGGGGACAATGGGGAAGGGAGATAAGGAGAAATCTTTATGGTTGGTAGTCTTCTTTTCAACCAGGCCATTGTTTTATGCCTGAAGTATTTATGGGGGTTGTGCTTCAACACAGCACTTTAAGGTGCCCTTTCATATGTATAGTTGAAAAGGTTATACCTATAGTAGCATATACTGTAGAATGTCAGAAAAAGTATTCAACACATTCCTATTCAACACAAAGCAATATTTGCATAGAAATGACAAAATTTCTGAGTGTTTCAGCTGCATGTAAGTATGGGCACCATGTGCATGCCTGGTGCCCTTGAAAGAGGGCATCAAGTTCAAGCTTTTAATTCCAGGCCTTGAGAGGCAGAGGCAGGGGGATCTCTGTGAGTTCGAGGTCAGCCTGGTGTACAGAGTGAGTTCCAGGACAGCCTCCAAAGCTACAGAGAAACCCTGTCTTGAAAAACAAAACAAAACAAAAAAACAAAAACAAAAACAAAATCCCAGAACTGGAGTTATCATCTCGGTATCACTGGCAGTCAATGGATGTTAGGGTACTGTATGATCAGAATTGGGATCAGTTTCTTATTTGCTGTATTGTGTTACTTAACTTTGGGCCTTAAACTTCCTAATATCATAAACACAGATAACAGCTCTTAACTTCCTAATATTATAAATACAGGATAACAGCTCTCTGTCTCCATTAGAATACTGTTGTATGGATGGAAACAAATACAAATGCATCTAAAAGTCCTTGTAGCCAGGTGTGGTGGAACACAACTTTTGTCCCAGCACTAGGCAGGCAAAGGCAGAACGATCTATGAATTTAAAGATACCCTTACTCTACAGAGTGATTTCCAGGCCAGCCAAGGCTAAGGAGAGATGATGTCTCAAAAAAAAGAACAAAACCAAGCCTTTGTAATCAGAATAAGCAAAAGTGAATTTGGGATTAATGGAAAGAATTTTGTTGTTTTTCTAGCGCACTCAACTTACAGTAAAGTATAACAAAATGCTTATTCAGGTATTTAACAATTGTAAGCTATGTGAAATTTCTCAACAGAAATAGGAAAATGCCTAGAAGGTCTTCTTGAAAATATTCTTGGTTTTTACACTTGGATGTAAATGTCACAACACAGCATCACAAAATTTAAAGACTTCTAAGTTTATGACTTAATCACATTTAAGCCAGTATGGTAATCTTGCTTGCTGAGCTTGGGGTGGGGCTGTCTAAGGGTGTGTTCTCTAGTCCTTGCCTTGGAATGCTGAGTCCAGGCAGAGGCCCCAGCAGGCCTTTGGGCTTGGGATTTTACAGCTGGCTAATTTAAGGAAGGCCTGACCAGTAGTTTTGGAATCATTATGTTTATCTACAAATTGTGTTTGCTCTAGGAGACACAATTGATGGACAAAAAGACTAATGTACTTCAAATCTGCTAATTTAAAGTAAGAAATAAGTTGTTTTCCTAACAACACCTAGGACATCCCCTCTATCTTCAGTTCTTGAAGGGTTATTATTATTATTATTATTATATCTGATTTTGGAGCCTCTTGAATATTGAACAAAATGACCCAATTTGTTTTGAACTTACATTTTCTTGCTCAGGTGGACAATACTTCTAATCATATATTGAAAGCCGTAGCTTATAATCATATATTGAAAACCATATTCTAGTTTTCACAAACATACTCTTTACAGTTCCTCATATTTGTTTCCTATCACTCCTATTCATGATTATATTGCTGGGGTCATATTATATGTGCCACTTAAATTCTAAATATTCTTTTTTTTTCTGGTTGTGAGGGAAGTCTATGTTTTTGTAGAAACTTTGGCAGTTTTGGAAAATAGACAAAAATCTGAAGGAGAAAATGAGGATTGTTATAGTTACTACTTTAGTTACTGACTGAACATTTTGTTATCTTTCC